CTTATTTTTATTGATAAGGAAAAAAAAGTTATTAAAAATAGTAAAAAACATGAAAATAATCAATTACATCCATTTCAAATGGAATCTCTATCTTACTATTTTAAAATACAGTCTAAACACCATGTATCACCCAAAAAGAGCTACAACATGACCAAACCTGAAAGCACCTTTGGTTTTTTATTTTTCTTTTATATATGTTATAGATTTCGAATTAATGTCTACTTTCTAAAAGTAAAATAACACTTTTTCATAGTCACAATTCATTCAAATACTTATTTTTTATGGACATTTGAACTTTATATCACATAAAGAGTACAATTTATAAAATAAGCAACAACATATTTCATTTTTAAAACTTATATGCCATTTAAAAAGTTGATATTCAATTTAACAAAAAAAAAGTAGAAAATATTGATTTCAATGTTTAATTTATGTACTTATTTTGTCATTCCATCAAAAACAATTTAATTCAAAAGAAACAATTTTTTAAAAAGAAAGTACATTGCAACAACTGAGATGGTTCACAATTGACATGAAACCTACCAAAATGTGAAGCTCGAACCCAACTTGATGTATCCATTTACATGATTTTTTTATAAGACAATAATTTTTTTATATTAACATGTTAACTTTTTTAATTATATTTAAAATTAAAGTTAGACAAAAATATATTTCTTATTAATAAAATAATATATGTAAATTTATATTATACCAGATGTGGTCCAAAAATCTAATCCCAAGCCATGCCCGAGCCCAACCCAAGACAAATTTGATTGCTTGTACTTTAAGTCAACAATTGTTGATTATATTGATTTCTTGATCAAAGTTGAATTAGACTCAAAATTAAAAAAAAAAATCAAAATTATAAACATTTAAAAAAATTTATAAATTTTATCAAAAAATAAAGAAGAAAAAAAAGACAAATGAGAAAAAAATCAAAATAGTAAAAAATTTCATATATATATATATTCTTAATTTTTTCTTTCTTTTTTCCCCTCATCCTTCTCTTTTTTACACTAAAAAGTTCTAAAATATTTACTTTTTAAATAGTCGAGATATCAATTTTTTGGTTTTAAAATGAAAAATGTACTTTCAAATAAATGTAAATTCAACATTTGTCTAAATCATCTTTTAATTTAATTTTTCATTTATTTTATTACTCAGATTAAGTCCAACGCTGAAGTGGATATACGTTTTTGACAAAAGTGGAGCCTAAAGTCAATAGTAGAACTTAGCATCACGCGAAACTAGTTCGCGCGATTACTGTCGATGGTTTCTCATCACTTATATAACTTAAAATTGCGAAAGAGAATGCTCAACTGTTTCTCTCCGGCAACAAAGCCTTTGATTCCTTTGAATCGGTAAAACAAAGATTTTCCTTCCTCTTCGTAGAATCAGCTTCTCTTATTTAAGACATGGGAATGCTTTGGTTTCAATTACGGGGTTGAAAGAAAGCATCAACATTTACTCATTGTTGCTAGATCTCTCATGTTCCAAGCTTCTTTGCCTTTAAAATTTTGGGGAGATTTTATTTTAGTAGCAGCACATACTATAAACAGAATACCTTCTCCAGCCTTGCAAAACAAATCTCCCTATGAAATGTTATTTAACAAAAAACCAGATTATTCTCATTTCAAGGTGTTTGGATCTTTATGTTTTGCCTCAACACTTGTTCATCAAAGGAAGAAATTTGATCATAGGGCAAGAAAATGCATCATGATAGGCTACCCTGTGGGAATCGCAGGTTGCAAGTTATATGATATGCAAACTCATAACATTTTTATTTCCAGGAATGTCAATTTCTTTGAACACATTTTTCCTTTCAAAATGTTGATTCTGTGCCTAATAGTCATGAATATGTTCAACTTTTTTCAAAATTGAAACTTGGGTTTGACATTCCATTTCCCATTTCTCATTTAGAGACATCTTGTGATATGGATTATGATCCTTCTAATACATTCTTATCTGATCAACATGTTCATCATACTTCCCCTATGCATTTTGATCATATAACTCGACAGATAGACTTTACTAATGATGATACAGGTGTTGATTATCACCAAATTACTATTCCTGGTCATTCTGTAAATGTGGACCAAAATGCCCTTGTTCAACCAGTAACTATTCCTTTTGATGATCCTACTTCTCCTTTGAATTCCAATCACCTTTCATCACCAAAAAGAAGCACAAGACCAAAACAACTACCTAAATATTTAGAAGCTTACTAGCACATTCTTCCTTCACATACAAACATAGTGACAGTGCATCCTATTACCAAATTCCTTTCCACTGATCAGCTTTTTCAACCACATAAAGCCTTCACCAAATCTCTTACCCATATTCCTGAACCTAAAAGCTTCCATCAAGCTAATCAACATTCTCAATGGAGGGTTGCTATGAAAGAAGAGGTTAATGCCTTAGAAGATAATGGGACATGGTCTATAGCACCGTTACCTACTGGTGCTCACACTGTTGGTTGTAAATGGGTTTATAAGGTAAAATTGCATGCCGATGGTACTGTGCAAAGATACAAAGCAAGACTGGTTGCAAAGGGATACAGTCAAAAGGAGGGATTTGACTTCAATGAGACTTTCAGCCCTGTTGCAAAGTAGACTATAGTGAAAACACTCTTGGCCATAACTGTAATTCGACAATGGCATTTATCTCAGTTGGACATTGATAATGCTTTTCTCAATGGAGATTTAGATGAAACCGTATACATGGACATTCCACAAGGGTATAAAGCTAAGGAGGAATATCCTAAAAACTCTAAACTGGTTTGTAAATTAAATAAGTCCCTATATGGACTAAAACAAGCTTCCAGGCAGTGGAATTGCAAATTTACTAAGGTTGTGCTTCAATATGGTTTTCAGTAGTCAAGGTCAGACTATAGTTTGTTTACCAAAGCAACCAATAATGGTGAGTCCTAAATACTTTCTTGGCCTAGAAATTGCTAGATTAGATGCAGGAATTACTGTGTGCTAGAGAAAATATACACTTGATTTATTGCATGACTATGGATTCCTTGGTGCAAAACCACTCTCAACACCTATTGATTACAACCATAAGTTGGTTAGAGATAATGGTAATTCAGTCTTGACAGACTGTACACAATACAAACAGCTTGTTGGCAAACTAATCTATCTTACCTTCACTAGACTTGACATTACTTACTCAGTACAAGTATTATCACAATTTATGGACAGGCCAACTATTGATCACTTGCAGGCTGCAAACAGGGTTCTCAAATATTTGAAGAATGCTCCAGGACAGGGCATTTTATTTTCATCCAAATCCACCTTACACTTGACAGCATTCACAGACAGTGATTGGGCAAGCTACAGAGATATTAGGAGATCAGTGATAGGCTTTGGAGTGCTTCTTGGAGACTCACTTATTAGTTGGAGGTCTAAGAAACAGGCTGTGGTTGCCAGGAGCTCCACGGAGGCAGAGTATAGAGCCATGCCAGTTGCTGCTTGTGAAGTTATTTGGTTGCTTGGTTTGTTAAGAGACTTTGGAATTCATCACACCAAAGTTGTTAACTTATTTTGTGACAACCAATCAGCTTTGCATATTTGTAAGAATCCCACATTTCAAGAAAGGACAAAGCACATACAGATTGATTGTCACTTCATAAGAGATAAAGTTCAACACGGGATCATATTACCTCTCCATATTTCTACTGTCAACCAAGTTGGAGACTTATTCACTAAAGCTCTCCCACCAGCATAGTTCTATGGTTTATTAAGCAAGTTGAGCATTATTGACATCCATGCTCCACTTGAGGGGGGTGTTAAAATTGTGCTTCTATCGGGAAACTTTGTAGATAATCTAGATAAGTCATTATCTTAGATAGATGACATAATCTAGATAAGCTAGATAGCTTCACATCTAACCTTAGCTTTAGCAGAATACTTATATGCAGTATAACCAATGTATATAAGCCTTGTATAGTTTTGAATTCAATGAAAAGAACAATTAGATTTTTCCATTCTGAAATTCTTAACCTTTTGACAAAGCTGTTACATACCATGTACAAAAACATGTTACACGCCATGGTTAGCTTGTTACACGCCATGTTAAAAAAAATACTGTTGTTACACACTATGTACAAAAACATGTTACACGCCATGGTTAAAAAATGTTGTTATACGCCATGTTGAAAAAAAATACTGTTATTACATACCATGTTGAAAAAATATTATTCTCATACGCCATATTCAAAAAATTTTATTACACTTTAATGCCTAAACTGTTGTTGTTACTTACCAACTAAAACTTCAAATCCTCTCAACTCTTTTTAATTTTTTTCTTTGACAATTTGGCACCTATTAAAGTGTTTCTAACATGTTTTTATAAATCAAAACACAAATTTTCTTATCTATAACACTTATTTTGACTAAAAATAAAAAAAAATTTCATTGAAAACCTAAGTTTATAAATTTTAAAATTTTGAGTTTATTGGTGTCTAGATCCCGAATTGATCCAATTAAAAGTTATTTCAAACATTTGTGATCATTTCTACTGTGTAGTTTTATCCAAAATACCTAAAAAGCAAATTCTTCAAATAGCCATCTACTCAAGCATATCAAAACCATCGTTTGGTGTCTTCAAAGCATTAGAAAGAGAAATTTGAGAAATCTAAAAGCGTTAGAGAGAGAAATTGAGAGCATAGTAGACGAATGTCGAAGAGAGAAATCGATAAAATTAGAGAGAATGGGATGTTGAGAAATAGAAATCGAAAGCACAAACGGGGAGAAATTACGATAAATAGTTTAATTTATTTAAAATAATTTTAAAAATATTTTTATTAAGTCATGATTAAATATGACTATAAATAAATATATTTTGATAATTATTTTTAAAATATCCTTATTAAGAAAGATTATTTCTCATAATTTTCTCTTAGCTATATCATTTTTTAATTTAATTTTCATTTATTTTATTACTTCATTTTAAATTCCCGGCCTTTTCATCTTTTTAAGTCGTGGAGGATATTCTCACTAATGTGAAACCGAAGTACGGCTGGGGATTCCGATACCCAGCGAATCTGCTTTCACCGTCGCGCGATTATGGTAGATGCATCTTCGTCATTTTTTATATAAGTCCCTGTAATAAAAATGAGAAAGAAAATGCGCGACAGTTTCTCTCCCGCGACAAAGGCCTTGATTGCTTTGAATCGGTAAAGGGGAGATTTTCCATCCTCTAGCTTCTTTTATTTAATAAATATGGTGTCTTCATGGGAATGCTTTGGTTTCAATTACGGGGTTTTAGGAACCCGAGGAACTGCTTACATTGATTTCGAATTACCTATCCCTTTTGTAATAAATGGTGTTTTTGAATCTCTCATTTTTCAGCTTTTTAGGGCCTTTAATCTTTGAATCTGCAAGGATAACATGGAGGATTCCACCGGAGCGAAAAAGATTAGCAAAAAAGACCGGAAGCATCGACGGGTAAAAAATGTAAGTATACACTCTCTCTTTCTAGTTTCTCCCCTTTCAATAATTTACTTTGTTTTCCCCATACCAACGCTTTAATAATTTACTTACTTTCTATATTCAGCAATGCGTGGACCGACTGAAAGAATATTTCCAGATTGTCACGGGAATTGAGCTTCCAGAGGTGTCTTTTTTTTTCTTCGCGGAGATTCCGAGCTTCCATATGCTTTTGTTATTTTGATTTTTATTCCTCGTCTTTTTTATTTTTTATTCTTTACATTTATTTTTTTAAAATAGCAAAAACGTTAACCGATCATAATTTCTCTTTTTTAAGTGTTTAACCTTTTTACTTTCTATTGTTAAACAAAGGGTTGTTGGGAAGAAGTGATACAATTAGTCTGGGGTAAGATTTTTGATGCCGGAAAACTGGAAATACAAGTGAGAGTCTCAGTGACACTGGAAGAATATGCTGCCAAAGCTGGAAAAATAGTAAAGAGTATGCGGACTGCTGTGGAAAAGGAAAAAGTTAAATTGGATGTGTTGGAATCCTTGATGCAACCGCTGCAGCAACAGATTCTAAATCTAGATTATCCACAACAAGGAGTTTGCTCAGATGTTATACAAGGTCAAGGTTTGGAAAAAGGGACAACAAAAGCATCCTTGCAACAGCCAGAATATGCTGCAAACATTGAACAAATAATAAAGAGCCAAACTCTTGTTGAAACAGCAGGGCTGGAATTGGAAAAGTTAGCATTGTCGATGGAACAGTATCTTCTAAACCAAGATTATCCCAACTGTCACAAACAAAATGGAGTTTGCTCAGAAGTTGTTTCTGCTCCTCCTGACTCTATCCAAAGTAGAACAAATGCTGAAGTTCAGAAGGTAAGTGTTTGTGAGGACCTAATATTGGATTTTGCATAAGCTGAATTAGGTACAATTTTGTTTTTCTAGTAAATAGATAACCATGGGATTTCATTGTGGTTGTATTCCTTTTCATATGGTTCTTCAATTAATTTAGTCTTAATTTTTTGGATACAAGATTTGGTGTTCATTGAATCTAGAATTGAAGGACTCTCTGACTCTGTTGCTTCCTATTTCTATTATCAACTATAATTGTATTTTTCCTGATGAAAAAAGCAGTAAATCGATCTCTTGATTTGGTTGATTTAGGTAACAGAGAAGATGACAACAACAACATTTGAACTTTTTGAATTCAGATTTAGTTTGTATGTTGCAGACAAGAAATTATGCATTAAAGGATAAATGATTGGTTTCAAAGCTACTATAAGTGTTTCTAATCCTAATATTGTCACAATCTTCATCTTCTGGAAATAAACTTTGACTGCAAGATAGTTAATATTTAATAATTATTGTTTCAAATTGTTTGGCTCAGCTTGTCTCCACAGCTGAAGTTTGTTTTTGTTGTCTATATCTTTTTTCCGCATGTGTCACCTTAAAAAAAATTAACAGAAGACGTATTTTCCTTGTATCACCCAACATTACAAGATCAAGCATTTCATTTTCCTTAATATATTCCTTTTTCTCAAATTTTCCATGTACCAAATAAAGCTTAATATATTTGAACCTTGTTATTTTTTTATTTGAATGGATCTAATCATCATTTGCTACATGCTCTCTTGCGTTAGTAGTTGTCTCTGTTGCTTTGGTTTTCCTTTTCTGGTCAATTGCACTGTTAATTATGTGGATCTACCCTTGAATCAGCTTCTTTTAATTAATTAATGCCATGTCTGATTATTGTCTTCACAGAAAGATCTATTATTGGGTTATTTTCATGGGATGCTTTGTTTAAAATTGCATCCCTGTTGTCAAAATATATATTGAGTTGTCAACTAACCTTTTAGTGTTTACCTCTGCAATTTATTGTGGTTAATCGGTGGAGAGGGACTCCATGAACTGCTTACCCTTCTTCCCCAAACTGATCTGACAGCTGATGATTTCCTTTTTCAGAGTGTCTCTTATATATTGCTATTTCCTCCTTTTTTTTGCAGCTTTTTGGGCATACAGTGAATACGGAGTTTTCGGTGCTACAGGATCTGAAGGTCCCAAACCAGTGTTCCGTTGTAAACCAATTCTCAAGTAGGCATAGTGTTTTTGCTTTGTTTAGATATGACCACAACCTATTTGGTCTTTTGTCGTAGGTCTTGTGAGTAGTTACTTTTCCCTGTCTTTGCCCAATGGTTTTGCATGCACAAAGACAATTTAGAGATAAAAGTACAGCTTGAATATAAGTGGATAGGGAATGGGTACTGGAAATGGAATAGGAAAAAATAGCAGAAACATGAACACAGAAAAGAGGATAAATGATGTATCCTGTGGATGTCTACTTGAATGCTATGTTGGATGTCTACTTGAAGTTCACAATCAGGTTCTTAGTCTTGCAATTTGCTTGAATGTTAGTTCTGCTTGTTGATTTTTATATATTATTTTTGAGCCCTGGTCTTACTTAAATGAAGCTTGTTTTGATGTTTGTGTGATTTGTTTGCTGCAATTTGTCATCAAAATGGTCTTGAAATGTTGTGCGTTTGGTGGGAAATGAAGACTCAACTGCCATTTTTGTTTGATGAAGTTTTAGTTTATGCATGATGAATCTCTGATAAAATTCTTTTCCGGCTTATCCTCCTGGCAAGCAGGTCCAAATGACGAACCTCAAGAAACCAAACCAAATACCAGCAAAGATCAACATAGGATGAGGAAAAAGGTAAAGAAATCTCTCTCTTTCTCCTTGATTGTTTTTCCTTTACTTCATGAACTTTTCTTTATTGGTTGCTCTCTGTATGTAGCAAGGGCATATAGCATTGAAAGTGTTTTTCTATATGTATACGGAAATTGTGCTTCCGAAGGTAAGTTTTCATTCTTCCTCTCTTATTTCTTGCTTTCTTAATTTCTCTTTTTATTGACCATTACTTTATATTGTGCAAACAAAGAAATGGAAGAAAGCAGAAGAATTTGTAGAAAAAAAGATAAATGATGCCAAAAGAGAAGGGGAGAAAGTGAAAACCATGAGAAGGCCTCCAAAAAGTGCTGCAGAAGTGGAACGAACAGTCGAGAGTACACAGGCTGCTTTTAAAGACGCCAAAATGCAAGTGAATTCCTGCAAAAACCTCTTACAACTGGTGAAACAAATGTTTCAAAACCAAGTTTATCCCGACTGTCACGAACAACATGGAGTTAGCTCAGAAGTTGTTATTCCTGATAAGGAGGCTCAAGCTTTAGCGTTCAACTACCTCCTTCCTGCTGGCTTTATTGAAATGGGACAAAGTTCTAGGATTTACAAACAGAAGGTATGTGCTTTTGAGGAGCTAGTGTTGTCTTTCATATTAGATGAACGTTCAAAATCAAGATTCTTGTCTACTATTTTTTTTTTTACCATACTTTATCATTATAGGGAATAATGCGAAAATTAACTTTATTGAACCTTCATTCATGACATAGATACTTTCAACCGATTAAATTGACTCTTCTCATTTATTTCACCAGCGTATCTAGTTATAGTGAACTAATTACTCCATGCTTTTTGATGCATAATCTAATATTTTATTTGGTTTGTATAAACCCCACTGACTTTTAGAAGGCAGATGCACAGGAGACACTTTTATCTTTATGCCCCATTGGCTTCAATGAAGATTTCTCGTTTCTGTATTGATCTGCCACAATATTATTCTAGAATTGTTTTGTGATTGTTTTCTTCAACCTATCCTTTCAGTGGAATGATATGGTACTTGGAGACGTGCAAGATCCACCAGAGTCTGGGCAGATGCTTGGTAAGTGACTTTGTACTCTTAGTGATTGATTAATGGGGGTGCATTTGTTGAGACATTGAAGATGATTTTTTAAGTATTTCATTTGTAGATATATATCTGTCAAAAGAAATGGAAGCAACATCTTATACGGGGTCTGTAATTCTGATAACTATTGATTTGTTAGTAAATGAAGCATAATCTTAAGTTGGTTTACAACTTAAGTTTAAAGTCTAAAGTTTAGTCATCTTTAACATCTTTTATGGGCTCTGTATTTCTGATAACTGTTGATTTGTTAGTAAATAAATCAGAGTCTTAAGTTGGTTTACACCTTAAATTTAAAGTCTAAAGCGTGGTATGGTCTTTTATGCGATGGCCTAGTTTGAATTTTGACTTGATAGGTTGACAACCAAGTTGCTATGTTAGTGAAAAAAGAAATCCATTATTGGGTCTTCTAATATCTCAAGCTTTTAATGTTAAAATTTGTTTAGTTCTTCAACATATTGATTTGTATTTTTTGCTAATAAGGAACATATAACTAATATTGATTCTACACATTGAAGATGCATCTAATGCATGTATTCAGGTGAAAATAACATTCCCAACTAAATTTAAATATGTTAGCATTGGCATGAGGGAGGTATTTTTTTTTCTTTTTAGAAAAACTCTGAACTCATTTAGTCACAACTAACTACCCTGAATGTTTACATGATACTATCTTCTGGATGTTGCACTTTTAGAGTCATGGAAAGCTACTGGCTGCAGCAATGGCACCAATTCTCTTGTGGCACCTGAAGCAGCTGTGAATTTGTCATCAATGGGCAACTTCCAAGGCTGCGGGGAACTGAGGGATAGTGAAAGTTTGCTTAAGGAGATAATGAAACAGTTCCCTCAGATTGCAGAAGGTGGCTTCATAGAAGTGCTCCTTGAGATGGCAAAATGCATTCCGCAGAAACTCGAGCTAAAGGACAGTAACCAAGAATTGAATCCTATGGATATGCGGATTTTACAGCTGAAGGAGAAAGTGGATAAAACCTGTCAGGAAGTAGGGGCTCTCCGGCAAAACAAGTCAAAGTTCAATCAACGTACGAAGGTCCAGACCAAGGGGAAGAGAAAGCGCTCTGGTTGATTTTTTTTTTTCTTTTTTCAATTAAGGGTTACAAGAAGCGAAAGTGTTTTTGGACTTATAATTGGGACTTCTGATGTGTATTTTATAATCAGCTGGACTGATCCTTACGTAACTTGTTGGTGTTGGATGGTTATGTGTATGTTTGGTTTTTATGCTTGCATAAGTAAATTTGAAAGTGTTGATTGGCAAATTTTTAGAGTACCTCCCCTTTCTTTTTTGCATGAACAAATTCATGGCTAGATTTGGATTTCAGAGTATTTTTCATGAATGTTGCCAATTGATGGTGTTGAGTATGGACTGTTGAGAACTTGCGTAGTCATAGCATTCTCATTTGTAATTGCTTTAACAGAAAACCATATAGCTGTACCTCCTACTCTTTTGAGAGAAGGAAGAGAACCAAATGCAAGAAATGGATAATGTAACTGATAGAATGGCATGAAACTCAGATATAATAATTATTATACGTAGTGGAAAATAAAATTTTAAACATACTATGCTTCGCTGTCATGCATGGATCATTTTGGCAGTTTTAATGCAAACAAAACTAGAAGAGAAGTATTCAGAAAAATAACATTATTTTCACCAAGTGATGTGATTATCACAATGGTACCTCTTCCTTATCCAACTCATGAACACCATAAAGGGAGCAAAGAAGAGAGCTCTTGAACCTTCACACGGAGAGAGCTCTTTCAGCTATACCTTTGTGCTAGCAAGGTGGACAATAACTTGTCTTCTCCGCAATCACACTCCTGGCCAAATCACAAAGTAGAAAAACTATTTTTCAAGTCACTCAAAAAAGTGTGCAGTTAGGCTTCTTTGTTAGTTTTCTGACAATTTAAAAACCTAACTGGTATGTTTCACTGTCTTATGAGAAGTAGCTAAAAGTAATATTTATATCTAAGTTAATTAACTTCTTAAATTGCAAATAAGGCCTTAATATTATAACCCCTTATAATATTAATCCAGCACTTAATTAAAGTTTTTTAATTAAGTCATTGTAAATTAAAATTAAATTAAATTTACTTTATTTGTTTAGAATTAAAGCTTTATGTCAGTTAAAATTCTACTACGCAAATTTACGTATTGAATAAATAGTATATAAGTAAGTAAAGTATCGATCCCAAAAAAAAATTGATCTAAAATTTTACTAAGTACTAAAATTAGAATAATTTAATCTTATCCAAACAATCAAATTCAAATAACTAAACTAATTAACTAATACTAATTAACTAAAATTTAAACTAAAAAGAAAAATCAAAGTAATAATAACTTAGGTAATATCAAATCAAACAAGCCTAAGATTACAATATCCCTCACACTTCATCTAAATCTTACCTCTCTTCTTTAACTTATTTTAATGAGTTGAATTACTAACCTAGAGTCTTAAATATTTATAAGGGTCTCTTGACTCATCTTATTGTCAGTTAAAATTCTACTATGCAAGTATACGTATCGAATAGATAGTATATTAGCAAGCAGAGTATCGATCCCACAAAGAATTGATATAAAATTTTACTAAGTAGTAAAATTAGAACAATTTAGTTTTATTCAAATAATTAAAATCTGAATTCTAATTGAACTAAAAATTACGCAACTAAAACTAATTTAATTACAAATTAAAGCAACAAGATAATTGGGCAAACAGCAAATCAAACAAGCCTAGGATTACAATATCCCTCACACTTCATCTAAATCTTACCTCTCTTTCTTAACTTATTTCAATGGGTTGAATTGCTAACCTAGAGTCCTAAATTATTTATAAGGGTCTCTCGACCATCTTATAAAAATATCTATTTTAACTAAAACACTATATCTCTATGTGAATTGAAATTAAAATAGACTCATTCAGTTTAGGCTCTAATCTGGCTACATATGGCTTACAGGTATATCCCTATCCTATACGCAAATCAATTAATATGATCATATGCTATCTCAATTTTAGTCTACACTAAACTCCCTTTCCCAAGTTTGTTTAGATTCCTAGATCAATTTAATTGGTGGCCATGCAATTAAAAGTATTAAGCACAAATCGGAATAAGCAATTCGAATCCCATTAAAGATAAGTAAGAAAGAGATTAAAAGTTAAATTACATGTGAGTTCAATTGCAATCCTAGAAAAATAATTTAGATCATAGTATCTAATAAAAACAATATCCAAAGAAATTTAGCCATGAATTTAAGTCAAAGAAAATAAGAAAAACACAAAAGTAAAGAGAGAAAACTAATAATTAGAGTTTTGTGATCTTGATTCTCCCTCCAATTCTCTTGTTTTCTTGGTTTTTTCTTGGCTTCAAATCTTCAGAATAGTTGCTTGTTGCCTCTCCTCCAAAATATCTGAAAAAGGCTCCTTAAATAGGCTCCAAATAACCTAATTTTTGAAATCCCGTTAACTTCCCTTATTTTTTAAAAAGTCGCGCAGCGCTACGGCGTTACTTCTCTAGCGCTGCAACGCTGAGCTCTCTGGAAATTTGTATGTGCTCTTCCTTTCATCAACGTTGCAGCCTTGTTCTCCCAGCACTGTGGCAGTCTATCAAATTCAAACATAAGTTTCACCCTGATATGTTAGGAACTGGGCAAAGTAGTAAACATAAAAGTTTTATCCTTGTCTCTTAACTTTCTAATGGATTAAGAATCACATCAATTGGACTTCTGGATTGAAAGATTTGCTCCAAATACCGTATCATGTTCATTCTTTACATACTGCTGCAGTGGTCCGAATTTGACAAATATTTTGACCATGATCCAATCAGAACTGGGAAAATTGGTGAACATAAACATTGTATCCCTTCTTCTTATAATTCGATTGGTCTAAGAATCACCTCATTTGGAGTTTTTTAGAAAGAAATATGGTCAAAATACTGAAACATATATGAATGAAGCTATCACCATACTTGCACTGATTTTCATCAAATGAGTCTTTTTCATCAATTTCCTACAAAAGTCATACAAGAAATTAGCAATAACTACTCTTGAAGTAATTTAAAATAAAATAAACTAAAATTTAACTAAAATAACTTAAATTAATTACTTAACAAGTAATCAAACTTAAACTAAAAAAACACCTAAAATGCTAAAATTCGAACCTAAAATCTCAAAGATCTAGTTACTTAAGCTCCCAAAATGAGTCAAAATAACTCTATATAATAGAGTTATCACTCATTAAGTTCAGGTTCTAATTTGGCTACATATGGCCTATAGCTGTATTCCTATCCTATACGCAAATCAATTAATATGACCATATGCTATTCTATTTTTAATCTACACTAAACTTCCTTTTCCAAGTTTTTTTAGATTCCTAAATCAATTTAATTGGTGGTCAAGCAATTAAAAGCATTAAGAACAAATTGGAATAAACAATTTAAATCCCATTAAAGATAAGTAAGAAAGAGATTAAAAATTTAGATTACATATGAATTCAATTGCAATCCTAAAAAAAGAAAATTAGCTACTCGTGATTGTAAAAACAAATAACATTATATAAAATTCAACCATTACGAGTAACAAGAAAAATAAAAGCTAAGGAAGAAAACAAAATAAAAATTTGCAGCTTTGCTCTCTAAGTTTCAGCTTCAATTTCTAGCTTTTGAATCTCCAAAAGTTGTCTAACCTAATGTTCTTAAAAATATCCTATTTATACTAATAAACTTAATCTATAGTTCCCTAAGTTAACCTATGATTTAAGTAGGCTTAAAAGTGTTAATGAGAGACCCTAAAAAATCAATTGTTAGCCTTCAAAAATTTATATTCCTGCCATAATACGTCCAACCATTTTCCGAAGCAATTTTCTCTATCTTCAAAGTAGAACTAAGTAAGGTGATTACTAAAGTTGTAGTTTTATCTCTTAGCTTTCTAATGGTTTAAGAATTGCATCATTTGTAGTTCTGTAGCACAAATTATGGCTAAAACACTAAAGTATATGCAAGTAGACTTTCGGGTCTTTCAACACTTTACTTTTCAAAACAAAGCCCAATTCCTTTAGTTCCTACAAAAAATAGAAAAACTAATAAATAATAATCAAAGTAAAAGAAACAACATAAAATTAAAATAACTAACTTAAAAATAAACTAATTATAAAAAAAATTAAAAATAAAGAAATTATAAATGAAAATTAAGGACTTAGTTATTATTTAATAACAAAATTAGACTAAAATAATTCTATAAAATTAAATAAGGACAAGGACTCTAGCCGTAGCCATTAGCAATGTGGTACACCTCATTACAACTCACAAAGAAATACACATGTCTTATTCAAGACAATAGCTCCTAAAATAATGCAGAAACAAAGGAAAATTGTCAACTATCTTCAAAAAAATCATGTGTCTATTGCATGGATTTCTTCTTTCTTTTAAATGCTCTCCTTAGAGCCAATAGTAGCAATATTATTTAACTATATAAGAACTTAGCTAGTTAATCTTTTTGAGGTTTGTCTTAACTCAACACTCCTCTTAAGGCCAACCTTGCACAAACCGATCTTGTTTCTCAAAGCTTCAAATCAATCTTTGCTCAACACTTTAGTCAGCATGTCAACCAAATGCTCACTTGATTAAAAGTAGACCATAACAATCTCTTTATTTTTAACAGCTTCTCGTATTGCATGGTACTTAACTCTTATGTGTTTTGTCTTCTCATGATGGACTAGATTCCTTACAATGGTTATGGCAATTGGTTATCTACCAATATCAATATTCCAAATGCTTGGTTGAACCCAAGATCACCAAGTATTTTCCTCACCCATTAGGCATGATTTAAAGTTGATGTTGTTGTTATGTACTTTGCCTCAACAAAAGATTGGGCAACTATGTCTTGCTTCTTTGAGCTCCAGGTGAACACAGCACTACCAAGTTAGAAACAAAACTTGTTGATGCTTCAAGAATCATCTATAAAATTAGCCCAAACACTATCTCAATACCTTTGTAAACCAGTGTTATCTTCCTTGATGAACTTGAGTCCACAGTTCACAATACCCTTAATATACCTAAGCAATCTTTTAACAGCTTTCATGTGTGAAACAAAAGGGTTTTGCATGTACCTTGATAGCACACTTGTGGTGTACATAATATCTAGCCTTGATGTATATAAGTAGAGTAAGCTTCTTATCAAGCTTCTAAATTCCATTGTAGTAACTTTGCTTTCTTCAATTATTTTGCTGAGATGACAACTAAATGCGAACGGTGTAGGAACAACCTTACAATTCTCCATTTTGAAACTTTTCAAGAGATCCTTAGCATATTTACTTTGCGGCATTAGTATGTAGCCTTATTTATGTTGAAATTCTAAGCCCAAGAAATAAGTCATTTCACCCAAGTTACTTCAACAACTCTTCATCAGGCCCTATTATCAATAAGTTTTCCACATACAATGACACTATTAGCTACACCTTACCATTTGAGAGTTTGACATATAAAATGGCTTCATTCTAGCTACAATTGAAGCCTTAGGAGCATAAGTACCCATAAACTCTTTTATACCAAGCCCTAGGTGCCTGTTTCAACTTGTCAAGAGCTTTGGCCAACTTACAAACTATGTGTTCATACCCATTTTCTACAAAGCCTTATGGCTATTCAAGATGAATGTCTTCTATTATGACAACATTTAAAAAAGCAAACTTCACGTCTAATTGCTATATTCTTTAGATGGTTTTTTTTTTAGCTGCCATGGCTATAGAAAGTCGTATAGTATCATAACGGGACATTGGAGAAAAAGTCTCCAACAAGTCAACATCGCAAACCTATAACTTTAGCCACAAGGTTGGCTTTCAACTTGTTTACTGAGCCATCGGGGTTCAATTTAGTATTAAAGACCCACTTAACTCTTATGACTTTTTAGTTAACTGGTCTCTCAACTAAGAACCAAGTTTTATTTTTCTTAATCATCTCTATTTTCGCTTGCATTGCCTGTCTCCACCTCTTTATGTTTAATCACTTCAGAGAAAGTTAGAAGCTCAATGATAGCAACGTTATATCTGTTGTAGATATCACAGAGCTTTTTTGTACCCCTAACAACCAAGTCTTCATCATCATCATCTTTCTTCTATGGGTTATCATAGAGGTAAGCATCAACCAAAATATATATATCATTATCATTTTCAACTTGCTTGTTCTTCCAATTCCATTTAAGATTCTCATCGAAGTTCACATCCTTACTCATAAAAATCTTCTTAGTTTCAACATTATATAATTAATATCCCTTAGAGACATCACTATAGCCAATATGAATAGCTAATTATGATTTGGGATCAAGATGAGACCTTCTTTCATTGGGTATTTTAGCATAACAGATGCTGCCAAAAACCTTCATGTGAGACATTAGTGGTTTTGATTTATACCAAGTTTCAAATGGACTCATAGAGACTAAGGCTCTTGTGGGCAAATATTGAGCAAACACACTACTGTGTTAGTTGTCTTTACCCAGAAATTAGTGGGCATATCTTTTTTGAATAGTATAAATCTCATCATTTGCATGATGGTTCTGTTCTTTCTCTCACAAACTCCATGTTGTTGAGGATTATACGCCATGATTAGCTCATGTTTGATGCCTTTTGAAGCCAAGAAATTCTTAAAGTCAACTGAGTTGTATTCTCTTCTATTGTCAGTTCTCAGAGTAATTATGGACTTCCTTATTTCATTTTCCACTAAAGCAACATACTTCACAAACCAATCAAAGACCTCAAATATATTTTTAAGAAAATAAATCCAACAAAACCAAAAGAAATCATCAATAAATATCATATAAAAATGCTACCATTCAAAAAAGGAGTCTTCATGGCACTAGCAACGTTTGAATATAAGAGCTGTAGTTTTTAAAAGGCTCTGTTAATGATGGTATTTGGAATAGGGATTTTACACTACTTACCATAATAGCAACTATCACATTTTGTTCAAAGTGAGACACATTGGGCAATCCTTCAACTAGATTTAAAGAAACCATATGACTTAGGGAATTATAGTTGACTTGCCCTATATACCTATGCCACAACTTAGAATCAGAGGTCATACATTTAAGAGCCTTGTGTTTCACCTTCTTCCAATCTACTAGGAAACACTTGTTTCTCATTTTCATGATAAACAACTCTTGACTCCAAGCATTAGAGACAATGCATGCCACATCTTTAAATAAAAAAGTATATTCATCTTCAACAAGCTACCCTACACTAAGGAGGTTTTGATTAACCTCAGGAATGAATATAACTTTGGAGATGAACTTAGTACCTATAGATGTTTGCATGGCTATGTTTCCAATCACTTGGATCTTCAAGAAGTCACCATTACCTATTTCGACTTGTGACTTGTAGGTCTTATCTAAGGTAACAAAGTTCTCTTATTTCCCTATCATATGGTTTAAACAAGCACTATCAATAAGCCAAGTGTGAACTTTTGTTGAACCTTCAAGTTTGTTGACTACAAACAAAAGCTTCCCTATCCATAAGTCCTGATATCTCATTGGACTATTCCTTAGGCTAAGATTCTGTCTAACCAAGCCAATATCACCACAATCTACTGTGAAAAACATTATCAATAATCATTCAATCATAGTTTAAGCATTCAAATGTACAACACATCAAGTAATACTCATTCAATCATGACTTAGACTCATTAACCTCATTCATCATAACATTCCTATCTATGAGTGGTCCTCCCTATTCTAATGAATAGTGAATCAAACCTCCACTATTTAAGGTTTGCTAGCTCACTGTGTGAGCGACATTCTGCTTCACCCATAACCATTCAAGTGGTCCCACCCACTCAAGAGGGTAGTGAACAAAGTCCTCACTACGATCTAGTTCACCTCATGTGAACAATTATGATAGCTGTGCGAGTGGCACACTGGCCTTACCCACAATCTTTGAGTGGTCCCACCCCACTCAAGTAGATAGTGATCACTCCCCACTATCGTCATAGGATTTTTCAAGCTTAAGATCATTCTCATCCTTAGCTTACATCTTAAACATGTAACATTTTCATAAATCATCATCATGCTCAACCTATAGCGTGTATGACTATATCAACACAAATGTTTCACAACATGTATTTCATAATCTCATAAATCATTCACATGCTTGGCCCATAGTGTACATCATATGCTTAACACATACAACTCATGGCATACATGTCACAAGCTCATAATTCATCCACTTGCTTAACTCATATTGTACATGATATGCTCAACAGATACAACTTATGCATACATGTCATAATTCATCCACATGCTTAGCCTATCATGTACATGATATCTTTAACAGATACATCTCATGGCATACATGTTATAATCTCATAAGTGGAAATCATGCTTCCATCATACCTTACATGCTACATTATGTCAACCATGTACATCACACCATTCATTTCATTTTGAAGGAAAACATATAAAAGGACTTGTCCCTTCTTATTGAAAACTAATTCATAATAGCATATTTACATACATAATAGATTCGTAAATGATTGGAAAACCATTGATGTCAATACACAATCAATCATCATCAAATCAAATCTTTTAGTCATTATTTCAAATCATAATTGAAATCCTTAAAACTCAAATCCTTTGATAAACTATTCTTTAAAATATTATTTCATCATGCACAGCAAATCATTCCCATAAAAATTATTCTCACTTTACATATTAAAACTCTTTAAAATATTATTTCATCATGCACAGCAAATCATTCCCATAAAAATTATTCTCACTTTACATATTAAAATACTTGAAGAGGTGTATCCACTTACTTAATTGGAGACTCAACCTCTAACTCCAATCACAACCTTTCTCCGGTGATTTCTTCAAAGTTTTCAACCATTCCTAACATTCAACAATCATCACAATCAATTCCTTCTACTTAAAATCTTGTAATACCCATTCCAAGTACTTTCAAAACTAATTGAATTCAACAAAAACTAATTTTTTACCTTAAATCTACTGTTACATTAACTAAATAATGCTTAAAAACCCATAAATCCTTCATCTTTGTCTTAAGTGAACTTTGATCAAAAACCCTAAAAACCCATAAATCACAACACAATGAGCTTTAGCAACCAATAGAAAAATCTAGGCATAAAGACAACATTTTCAATTTTGAAAAATCAAGATTTAAATATTTCAAAGTTTAAAAATATCATTTTGTTCATAAAAACTCAAAACCAAGCTTAAAATTATCAAAAATGGTGATTGAAGTTGAGAATGGGTTAGAAAAGGCTTAAGGTTGAGAAAATACCTTGCAAAAAAGGTTGAGGGTTGTCAACCCTCATAACATGTTGCCTATTTATAATTTGGAGTGTGAAAATATCATTTTATCCATTTTATTTTTTTGAAAACGACGTCATTTATAGAAAAATCAGAGTCATCTATCGATTTATCAATAGATAGGCTTCAAGGTTTTTTTAAAAATCTCTCTAATTGCTATCTATCAATAGATTTGTCCATCTATCGATAGATCTAGCCATTTATGGATAAATTTGACAATCTATACATAAATGTTCTTCAATGCTCTTTTAAGATAACCTTTTTAAGTTGAATCTATCGATAGATGAAGAATATCTGCCGATAGATAGGCTCTAGTAAGCAAAAATAAACATTAGAAACTTGTCCAATTAGATTCCTTTTAACACCAAACTTTTCAAATCATCTTTAGGCATTAAAATATGAATTGTTTTCCAAGATAAAAACTTAGTTTTCAATGTTTAAAACATGAGACATGCATGCTCAACTAAGGATTTCTTAACTTAACATCATACATCAAGGTGGGATGTCACACACCATTTAGCTAAGTGTGGGAAACATTCAAGACACTAGACAGTGCATTCCAGCCATAGGAGAAGAAGTTGAAATAGGCTAAAGTCCAGCTCGTTGAAAGGAAAGAAAGAAACAATTGAGGACTCTAGCCACACCAAGCCCATATAGGTGCCACCAAATCCATTCCCAAGTCCAAACATCTTAAGCCACTATAAGCCTAGACTAAGTAAAGGCCTATCATTTGGATTTTGTTATAGGCTATTTTGTTGTGTTGTATTTTTTTAGTAATTTTCAATAATGTTAGTAGATTTATTTTTTTTTAAGGAAAAGATAACACATGTATTATTATGATAGTGAAAATGATGAAACTAATATCATGTTGTTATATAAAATATTTTACCCATATATAAATATTTATGATTAATGGTGTGTCTATATATTTTAAAAATATAAATATATAAATTTATGAAAATCTCCAATTTTAAGTTAACGAATAGTAGAATAAAATATTATAATAAACATTAATGATTAAAAGTTAATATTAAAAAAAGAAAGAAAATATATCTAATGAATATTTTAATCATTCTTTCATTAATGTTACTCATGCATAAATATTCCTAGCATTCATTTATATGCTTTTATATATATATATATATATATATATATAAGGTAAATAAGGTAAACAAGGAATTAGAAATTAGAAACAAAGGTAAATAAGGGCAAGGACACTAGGCACTACCTGTTGTAGTGTGGTACACCACGTTACAGCTCACAAAGAAATACACAAGTCCTACTTTAGAAAATAGCTCATAAAATAGAGTAGAAATAAAAGAAAACAATCGGCTAGCTACAAAAAAAGCACATGTTTGTTGCATGCCTTTCTTCTTTCTTTTAAACGTTCTCCTTAATGCCAATAGCAACAATATTATTTAGTTATATAAACACTTAACCAATCGAGCTCTTTAAGGTTGGTCTCAACTTAACAAGCCTTTATCTACAGTCTCCCACACATTTTGTAACTCAAGTAAGGTTTTCGTACTAACAGACCAACAATCATAGTTTTCTTTTGTAACAACCATTTACTTGTCCTCAAACTAAGGATAGCAACTCCAATACCACTTGTGGAGATCGCCCCACACACAACAAATTGCATTGCCAACCTCCTGATTGTCGTTTTATAGAAGGCAAAAAAAAAAAAACAATGAAGGACACAAAAAACATCCTTCACAAACACAAGTTGAAGATGACAAAAAATAAAATAACCAGAGCCAAGAAAAACAAAATCCAAGAAAACAATAGGTACAGAAGTAACAAGAAGCATGGAAAGGACAAGAAAATCTAAATTCCGCTTAACAATGAATATGGAAAAAATCATCAGGACGATTAATTCCAGCTGTAGTCAAGTGAGCCATAAGATTATTGGAAAATTTAGGAATCTTGAAACCGACCACAGTTGAATTCTTTTTTTCAAAAAGTTTATGAGATTCATAACGTTTCTTATTCTCCAAGTGGTGAGAGAAAGATTATTGACCCATAATAATTAATTTGTTTGTGTTAGCCCAAGGAGAAGCAACAAACAAGAAGAAAGCTTCCTCGATGGCCATTAACTCAGCAAAATTAGCCCTACCCAAAGACTTAGAAAACAAAATTTTCACATGTCCACATTCATCCCTTAAAGACCGTCTTATACCAAAATGACCTGGGTTTCCTCTCGAAGTACGATCAATATTAAACTTCATGCAATCTCTAGCTGGTTTCATCCATCAACCTTTAGTTTATCCTTATTTACCACAGATTTAGCTTTAACACAAGAGAGCCCTTTCACAACCTTAGGAAATGAAGGATTTTCCGAAAGCCATTTCACCTTAATCCACCACCTAATTCTTAGCTTGATGATATCACAATCTGATAAGACTCTCAAAGTTTTTCATTGAAAACCAACTTATTTCTTTGAATCCAAATCGTCCATAAAATGACATAAAACGCCATTTGCCATGTGGCTAAGCAACTACCATAAGAAACAGTACCATTCCAAGCAAGAAAAAACTAGCTCATATAACATGTTTGGTATAGGAAATAGCTTAGCTATTCCGTCTCTATTCCCATGTCTATTTTGTTGCCTTGTTTGGTAAACAATTGCCTAAAGGAATAACGATTCTTTAGTATTAGCTATTCCTCAAAAATACTTAAAACTCAAGCTTAAGTAAACCCAAGCCCCCCTGTAGTATTTGTTATTCTATGATTGAAAAAATAGCTTTCAAATTTGATAAAACTAAAATGCCCCTTATAACTATGAAATATTGTAACCCTAGACATATAAATACTTCTTTTTCTTCTAATTTTTCCTTTTTTATTCTCTCTCTTCTCACATTCTTGCCTCTTTCATTCTCTTTCTACCTTGCACTCATCACCGAAGATGATGACAGCAACAACAGACGGCGTCAATGACGGTGGTTCTACAACCAAATATGACCAAAAAGTGT